CCCCACTGCTTACTTCTCTCCATGTAGACTTAGACCCATTAAGGATTGAGTATAGTTTGTCAGCCAGTTGCGAATACATCTGGTGGTGAATCTATCTATCCTGTTACACAACTAGAACAGGAATGCATTGTGAATTAGGAAGAAAATAGCCACTTGGGCACCAAGCATCCCCTTTGGTAGAGAACAAAATAGAAGACAGTAGAATAGTGTTTGATATAATAGCCAGTTGATAAATTATTGATAGAAATGTTGCATTTCTAGGACAGCAAAAATAGAAGAAGACAGGTGTTGGCTTGGTAGCATTGGGTAATATGACTAATAATGGGCTGCATTTAATTTGGCGGGTCACACATTGAGCTACATCAATTCCCAGTTTCTCCTGCAGTGGGAGAGGCTCTGAAGAACTGTATCAATCCCAAATACGCTCACTGTTCAGAGCAAGGAAATCCAATGTCAGCAAAGCTGTTCTGAAATAATGGCACTAGAGAAGTAATTGTATGAAGATGGCTTCCATGAACATTCCTGCTAGCTTCCACCCTTCTCCCTAGTGCCCCATGCAACATATCTCTCAAACTCCCTGCATTGTTCCTTGTTGATAATTAAGCAGGTGATACAAAGGGGGACACCTGCTATTTATGGCAGAGAAAACCATTGAAAGTACCTAGTCAAGAGAAGCATTCTATCCAGAGCTCAGATGACGCCATTAAACCCTAATCACAAATAGCTGGATCAGCCCCCCACCCCCAGGAGAGTGGGCTTAAGCCATCCAGTGCCATTCACATGCATGGTCCTTTTGTTTTTTGAGAATCATGAAATGCCACCCTTTGAGGAAAAAGTACGGGAATATTCATTACTTCTCCCTACATGGGCATATATAAATTATAAACCTTATGCTCAGAGATTAATGAATTATGTGTAAAACGTATTCATTTTATTAATCAAATTTATATTCTCTCACAAACACAGAAATCTCTTGTATGAGTTTTTTATTGTTTTTTATTCTTCCAGGGTGGCTGAAAATCTGAAATGGCAAAAAGGGATTAATAACTGAAAAAGAATTAGAATCAGAGCATGGGGTTTGGGCAATTTTCTCTACTTCTCAAAAAAAAAAAAGTGGGGGAGCCTTCGGTATATATTGTATGTTTAAACTTTGTTAGGGAAAGTTGCTAGGGGTACATTTTTCAATAATCAGTTCCTTCATAACAGAATAATTGAGTAAAGAAAAAAATGTCACTTAAGTGTCTGCCATTACAGATAAATGCTAATAGAGTGATTTTTCACCTATTTGTTTCGAACAGTCTCAGTGAATTTCATGCATTTTACTACGCCGTATAGGGTTGCCTTGTGAGTCACTAGGCGGTTTACGGTGATTGATTGTTGTATTGATGTGTATTGTGGTCAGTAAATTGTATATAGTTTGAAAGAGCTTGAAACAAAAGAGCCACTCCTTCTTTAGGATTAAGGTAGAGCAATACAAACAATTATACAGTAAATAACAATAGCATTCAGCAGCTGAGGCAGTACAGCAATGTGCAAGAATGGAAGAGGGGCTCAGGCAAAGATATATTGGCTGAAAATAGAGATACTACAAAGTTTATATGCCCCTATCGTTGGATATCAAACTCCACCCCACCCCCCAGCTCCGTTGCAAATATTCCCCATCCTTCTGGCTCTTAAGTTAGTTTTCTCCTAAACTGATGATGGCTGATCTACCTACTTTTTGGAATTTTCTTCTTTCTTCTTCCAATAAAAAGAGGGGGGGGGCTTTCCAATTGCAAGGCTGCTGGGCTGATTGGAACCTTCCTTTTTTTGTTGCTGAATTTATGTGAAAAGTTTGGTTGTTAAGTAGGATCATGCTTTCTGGTTGCATATCCAAGCCTCATCTTTTCCTCGGACGTGTTTTCTCCCAAATGAAGGAGAGGCATTTTCCTTTCGGCTCCGTGTTATCCTCTTATCCCTACTGTTTTGGAATAGAGCGTAACCAGCTGGAGAACTGTAAGAAGCCTGATAATGCAGCTATTTTCTGCTGTCCCGTCTTAATCTTGTTACACAAATGGTTGTGAAGAGATTCATGAATTTTAATTTTGCCCTCTGCATTAGTGCTTCATGTCACTCATCCACAGCTGCCTTCTATGGCAAGTTATTCACCCCTCCTCATAGAAGAGGGGGGGGGAAATTAGTTACAATCTTGACAGTAGTGCAAGTAACAACAATTTAAAAAAATCCACAGATTTAGGCAACCACCCATGAAGCTGATTAACAGGCAGTGATCAGGAGGAACAGCTTTGCCTCTTAAACTTTTCACCTCTCATTGTTAGCTGTGAAATTTTATTTCCGTTTCAAAAAACAAGCCTGTAATCAAAACTGGGCCTATACTTTATTATTGTGCTTTTGTTCAAAAACTATAGACACATCCTTTTCCTAGGTTGGGTTTCACAACGCATCAGTCTCGCACTAACCTCTGGAATATTTTCTTAATAATTAATACATTTTTTAAAAAAAATAAGATGCAGGTTATGCTCCTTTGCCAAATATACATTGCAAACTGGGTATGTTTCATTAACTATTCAATATTTTTCTTCTCCTGAGATAAGTAACCAAAATATAAGATGAGGGTAGCATAGATTTATGTTTTAACAGGGACAAAGCAAAGTCGGGATGGTTTTCTAAACAAAAGCAATGGCTGAGGCTGTGGTATGAGAGCAGAACGTGATGTCAAAAGAATAGTTATATTGCCTTTCTCCTTATCTATTTGAAATACCACATTACGAGTGGCTAGTGCTTATAATGTGTCTGGTGCGCGGTTAATAATTGTGGCTACTGTAAAGGGTAAACAGTATGAATTCCGCTCCCGTTGCTGCTGTTCACCCTGTGGGTCTGAGTGTGTTACATCCAATTAGGAGGGAAAGCATAATGCTACTAAGAGTGGCCATATAATTTATTTCAGTTCTCCTAGGCCTCTCCTGCTCTCCTCCCTTTTCTTGCCTCCAAAATTGAAAAATTGTTTTATTCACAATTTGCTTTTAGTTGTTCGTGCAATTCAAAGGGTGGGCTCACGAGGGTTTTTTTTTTCCCGTTTCATAAAATTACAATAATTAATTGGGCTCAGAAGTGCAACCATGATGTGCGCAATAACACTCTACATAATATTCTGGACTGAAGCATATGCACTGTTTACAAATGCTTCTGTGTATGCATATATGAGTTCAATAATGTTATGTTTCCAATGCACTTACGATTGGATAACAGGTTGCAGTAATACATGCTTTTGTGGCATTTATTTGTTTAACATCCCCCTGCTAATCTGGAATAGTGAAGCCGGGTCTGAGTTGTGTTTAAACTCTGCAATGGAGCCTTTGGGCTGGCCACCAGAGGTCACTAGAGAATTCAGGTTAAAAGAGACATGGGGGCAGACCAGCTCTGCTGCATTCCTAAACAAGAACATTTTTTTTTTCTTATGGGCTTACAAGATATTATTTCTGGATGTAGGTTAGTGAAGTTGCTGACCCAAGACACATCAGGGTAGAGAAGATTATGAGCAATAGGAATGGCCATTTGAAGTTTAGTCCTCGAGGAAATGAAGTTTCCTTTCTAAAAAAAACAGACCTTAAGATGCAACTGGGGAAAACTTTGAACTGGAAATTATTTTGTATACTGTTTTTTAAAAAATGAAGTGTTTCTTTATTATTATCATCGTTAACACTTATAACAATAGAGAGTTTTTGGTTCCTTCAAGAGATCACTTGGAATGTGTCCCATGAAAATTCATGCCGCCACCACCCCACCAAAAGAAAAAAAAAAATCAGTTAATTTCTGGTATTAACCAACATTTTGGTATTTGCTATGCCCTTGTAAAACGAAGAACATCAGCCAAAGTACATCAAAGGATGGGCTCACAGGTTTTTTTTCCTGTTTCATAAAATTACAATAATTAATTGGACTCAGAATGTCAGGAATAACATTACCTGAAGAAAAAGTTGGATATTATTTAAAATGCTACATATTATTATAAAATTAATAAAGCCATTTTATTCACATAGAACTCTTTGTGCTAATATTAAAGACATTAGAGAACCAAATTGTCATTTTTAATATGGCTGAGAATTTGAACAGATTAACAATTGTTGTTGGGAAAATTACACTACTCATAAATGGTAAATTATTCCTCAGAATTAAACAATAGGACATGGGTAAATTCCTGTTTATATAATGGCTAAAAAGAAATGTCAAAAGCTATATTGAATATATAATATTCTAATACACATCTGTACACTAGAGTATTACATATTAAATATTATATATTTAAGAAAAAGGAACGCTACTTCATATTCTTTGCCTCTTGTCTTTCAGTTTTGTGTTGCTTCTTCCCCACTGCCCCCGCATAAACACACACAAAATTGTTTCAGTGAAGTCCTTATAAATGTTGGTTTAAACTTGATTTTCATCTGGATAGCTTGTTGAATTCAGTAGTTTGTGTCTATAGAAAATATATGCCAAATTCAACTACTTGGTAAATAAGTTCTCACTGGAGAGCTGGCTAAATGAATACTTGTTTTAAGAATGAATACCGTACATGTTACATTGACTGAGTTATAGAGTTCACATAACCTTTGTTTTTGTTGCTAAGAATATGCTGCGCTATTCTATGTCCAGAGAGGTAAGTCTGAATTAGTATGTGAAACTACTGAAGTTTGACAGTTGTTGATGATCATAGTGTTCTATCAATCATACATTTAAAGTCTTAATTTTAGGAAACAGTTTAGCTTTCATTTATTTGTACATTTCAGATGAATTGTATTCACTCCAGTGCATGGTATTTTCTCACCAGCAATTTTGATTACTGGTGATTATAAAAAATGAAAATAAAAATTATGCCAAATATTTATTTTCTCCTTTGATACCCACCCATCCAACAACAAGAAAAATCTGACTTACTAACAAAGATTATGTTGCTATGATTAAAACAAATTGACTTTTGCTTTCTGTTTCTTTATTTGCAGCTGAAAAAAGAAGAAAAAGATATTTATGATCCAAATCTCCACTACCCATTTTTTCTTGTTTTAACCAAAGAAGGATAGAATATGGGAAAACAATATTTTTTACTACAAAATGGACTGTATATAATAATTTCATGGGAAAGGTAAACTCTGAGCAATGTAGACTAGATCATTCTCAGAACTTTGGGTTCATTATATTGAAAAAGAGAGCTGGAAGTCTTAAGAGCTCTAGTTTCCTTTGTGGCTGTCATTTCGCACATGATTTCTTCATTGTGACAAAAATGTTTTTTTCTGTTGCATCTGGAAGAATGTGTTTGACCAACTGCAAAATGCTAAAGGATTTATTGTTCAAGTAAGTGAAAAAAACAGATACTGATATCTGCTCAACATTTGAGATCATATCATATTCTATGAAAGCGTCTCTTATTTTACTATTACCCCTTAGGCTATTTTTGAAAATTTCCTTTTGGGTTTTCTTTTCAGAGTGAAATTTTTCAAACTCAGATTGTTTATCTGATTTTTTTTTTTACAACAGGAGTTGGGATTTCAGAGTTTTATTGTTGAATTTTTTATTTTGGGGTGGGGGGTTTGGTCCTCTCTCAGTAGATGTATTAGAAATTATTGCTTCAAACCAAAGCCTCATAAACTGACCATTTGTCCTCTGGACACAATGCATTGGCCAGCCCTCTGCTCCTCCTCTCCAATTATGTGTGATTAGTCTCAGTGTGTTGTGTCAAGAAGGGGGAGTGTGCTGAGTACTTATTATCTGTTTAGGTACAAGAAGAGTGCTCTGACTATGAATGAAAAGTGAGTCTTTATCAGTCCTGAAATCTAACTGCAACTGTTCCCTATACTTGCTATTAAAAAATAGATCCTTGTCTGAGAAATGTTGGGTACTGTAGCAGTTGTGGGCTCTTTGCTCTCTCACTTCCCAAAAATACATGTTAACATCGGGCATTGTTCACACCATTTCATTAACATTTTTGTCCCAGAAGCAATGCATGCCTTTCAAAGCCTAAGACAAAACTATTTGGATTTGTCTTCTTCCTGGTTTAAGAAACACTTTTTGGCATCTTAAGTAGCTTATCGTCTCTCTTTTTTTTTTTAACTATTTTTAAAAGTCACTGGGGGGAAAATCAAATAGTATTACACTTCATTGTGTGCTTAATTGGCAAAGTATATGAAAATAAAATAATTACCCCTGAATTGTTGTTTCTCTTCTCTGATTTAATAAGTTGCACACAAACTCCGATGTGCTTCCATCTTTCCCTCAAATGCATTTCTTTATCATCAGTTTACATGATGGTACATTCCACATTTTTTTATGCTCCATTAGAGCACCTATATGGATCGCAGAAGGCATAGGTCAAATCGCAGTTAGATCATACATTTCTTTCTCACAAAACCTGAATTGCAATGCCAAGTGATGGGCTAACATCACAATAACAGCAATTTATTCCTCTTTTGATAAAACAGCAGTCTATTCTCAGTGTTGGATAAAGACCAGGGGCAATGCAAACCAGCCATTTATCCTAGTATTTCAGTGGTAGATCTCCTTTTATGGATTTTATGGATTTCACATTGAGACACTTACTGCATGGAATTTCTGCTCAGAAATGGCAAGAATTTAGAGATGGACAGTTTTATCATCATTGTGTGTTTCATAGTTACACATGCTATATATCTTTAGTAAAAATATTATAAAGAAAAGGCACAAATAGTACCCATGTATATGGACAGTCACATATCATCACAAAACTATTCAAGAACATGACAAATAGATATATTTGCTAACTTTTACATAATGACCCTGGAAATTATTGTTTCACTCTTTTTCCCCCTCTGAGTAGATAACAAGTATATCAAAATGAACAACTAATTATTATTGTTTGTTTCTTTTCCCCATCTGTCATGTCAGTACAAGCTAGTGTCTCAAATGCAGGCTATTATCCCGTAAGGGTTTAATTGAAGGGGTCTTAAGAACACGATCCTGCAAACATTTATGCATTGAGGCTGAATGGTGAAACTAAATTACTCATGCATATAATTGATGAAAGGACCAGAAGCCCTAGATTGTAGCATTTGCTGCTAAAGATCATTGTATAAAATTCTCTGGTTCTCCCCCCGCCCCCCATTTCTCTGGAAAAAAATAAAGTTGCTTTGTGGTGGGATACCCTTTCTAAAATTATCATTATCTCTATATTGGTTTAATTAAGCACACATTCTAGTTCTTTGAATGTTACTTCTGCTCGTCCAAATAGTAATGTTTTAAAATTAAAAGCTGGTTTTAATTTAAAAAATAAAGATTATTAACAGTGATTGTAAGCATAAATTGACAAACAAAATTTAAACAACCTTCAGTTAAACACACTCTGTGATGAGGATATATGCTGGGTTTTGTATGAATGGAAGTTAAACTGAATGAGTCCCTTAAAGTTAAATCAGATATCAATCATCAACAATCAATGGAAACAACACATTGGTGAAACTTTTCTTATGGGATTGTAAACTGCTCCTGAAGGGGCTTTTTTATACTGAATGATAGTTTCTGAGCCTCTTCTTGATAGAAGTTGCAGGAGGAAAAATTCTGATTTCAGTAACAACACAATGGGCATATGACAGACATCTTGTAAGTTTTTTAAAAAGTAGTTTTCTGAAACATGGTTTCTAAAAGTCTGCAAAGTGATTTTGCCAAGATTAAAGATGAAGAGAATGCCTTTTTTTTCAAAGAAGGAGAGAGATTAGTAAAAGAGGCATCAAAGATTATGTTGGGCAATGTTATAAGTGTTACATGCAGTTAGTAAGATTTGTTTTGTTTTCTATTGCTATGTACGTACTGTGATAAAATAAGAACTATTGTTTCCCTTTCATTTCTGAATATTTCACTTGTATTCTGCACATTTAGTATCCCTTTGATTTTTTTTCCCTTGCAAGGTTACATAAATTAAAAGGGTATTCTGCTCCAATCGGCACACTAGGGACAATATGTCACATCTTCAGCCAAAGAATCCGCATAATCTAAGGCAATACTTGTGCAGAGACTAATGGAGGGCAAGGTCAAGTTCCAGTGAAATCAATTCAGATCAAGGCAGGAGAGAAGGAAGCAGACAAAAGGCAAAGGCAAGATGAGGTTGGTTGGAGAAAAAGAAGAGCCAGTAGGGCAAGATAGGATCAAAAGCACGAAAATGGCAGAAAGTCTCTGGTTATTCATCCCTGAGGACTGAATGCAACATGCTCTTACAAGTGTGAGTGCTTGTAACATTCTCACCCTTGTCAATCAAGAGTTTAGGAAAGAAATATGAACATTCTCCAGCAGGGCTGTTCCATCCCTCAGCTGAAGAAAGTATTTCCCCTTCCAAAAAAGAAATCACATATGCAAATGGGCCATGCTTCACACTCTTGTACAAATGCCATTTTCAGCAAAAACAGCAAAAAAGACCCTAAATGTATTTGTGTATAACTCAATTATCTTCCAATCCCTGGTGTTGCTTCAGAAAGATTTATTTATTTTTACCCCACCTTTATTATTTTTATAAATAATACAAAGGTAGCGAACATACAGTATCTAATACTTCCTCCTATTTTCTCCACAACAACAACCTTATGATATGGGCTCATCTGAGAGAATTCACCCAAGGTCACCCAGCCAGATTTCCTATTTAAGGCCAGACTAGAACTCACAAATGGCTCTGACAAATCCTATGGTTGGTTTCCCATTGCTTCTACAAAATCACAGACCAAGGATGGATGCACTATTCCCATCGTACTCACATCAAAGGTCATTTAAAAGTAAACAATTGCATTTCAATCCCATACCCAGGTGAAATTTTATGAGGTGCCCAAATTAAAAAAAATAGGCTTTCTAAAAGCATACAGTTACTTGGATATACAGAGTCATTCCATAAAGCATTATCTTTGATGGGGGGTGGAGAGGAGAAAATCCAGGTTATTATAGAAACATGTGAATTACCAGAGAGCCATAAATTCGTGATTACAGAGAAGCATATTCTGTTCTATTCCCAAATCCATACAATACACAGATAGTATTTTCTTTAGTGCAACATAATGAGCACAAACTTGTGGGCAAGCTGTAATAAAAACCCAAAATATCTCCCATATAGATTTAATGATTCTAATATCAAGGATTTTTTTAAAAAATCCGTCTTATTTTCTCTGCAACATTTTCTTTCTTCAAAAGTAATTGACAAATTGTTTTTATTTATTTCATTTCATTTCTACAGTTGCCTATCTCAGTCAAGTGGCTGGGCAGTTTGTTTTCTGCCATTACATTCCAAATCACTTTGTCCAATGGTAGTGCCAAAAGTTTAAAAAACATCTGGAAAACATCTACTCCTAAGGTGTTGTACAATCACATAAAGTAAACCCAAGGATGTTTTTTTTCCTTGCATGCACAACCAGATGCATAAGATCTGCTACACAACACAATCCCACTGTGACATTTTGTGAGGTCTTTGCACACACAGTTTTTTTGGAAACAATTCAGCTTGTGTTATTTCTGCCAAAAATCCAAATACCTCATTAGTCTGTTGAAGCAACAATGACAAAGATATCTTTGGCACCCTAATACCTATATGATTTATTGGAGCTGTGCTTTCATAAGCTGCAGCCCATATTAACAAAAGCATGAAGTAACCTGGAAATTGTGCAGATAAGGGTTTTTGCTGAAGGAGAAACAGCTTATCTACAAAAGCTCATACCTCATAAGGAACCAACAAGTTGGTATCAAGATTGGTTTATATTATTTTAATGTATATCCCATCTCTCTGTCCAGATAGAAGGCAGGATTGTTGATGGTCACCAAGTCTGCTGCTCTGCTCAGTACTTTTATTTTGCAAATATTTACAGCACATTCCATCCAACCTTTACTTCAACATTCCCAGGAATAAACAGCCCTTTGCCTTTCCATGTCTATTCTCTGTCTGGAAGAAATTTCTTATTGTTTCTCCTGTTGGATTCCCATTGCTTCTAGACTTGCATTTTGT